TTTTTTGAGGTCCTCTCAGAAAGTAAAAAACAGGGTCCCCACCCCAAGACAGTCAGTGGTAGGGTGAAACCCAAAGAGCTTCAGGAATGTAAGAAAATGAATGCTGCTGAACCTATACGATGACACGTCTGCCTTGAGTGGGACATGAAGAGTAAGATTTAATAGGAAAGAAAAAGAGGGCACAGGTATTCTAGGTAGGAGAAGAGTCTTACAAAAGCAGATGTGTGAAGGACAAAAACATGCTAACCATTGTCTGTTTGGGATGTTAATGACCTTAGTCCTCTGAATCTGACATTACATTCCTCTGGAGGAAGCCCCTGGAAACAGGAAGACTGTGGTGTGGGCCGTCAGCCTGCCTTGGGGTGGTGGTGAGAGGACTGAGGGCTCAAGGCCAGACCAAGAGCAGGACTGATTGACTTGGTAAGCAGGAGCCCTGTCATTTCTAGCCTGATCTGTGCCCACACAGTGACAGCTGCTGTAGTGCTGTGCTCATACAGTGTCATAGGAAGTCTCCTTTCCCTTTCTACACCACCCTGCCCCCTGTAATTTTCTCCTACCTGCTCATCACAGTGTCTAAAATCCCACTATTAGCTATTACTCTCCTGGGAGTGGCTCTTTTCATAAATGTCCACATGTCAGGTAGGGGGAGACACTTTCAACGCTAGTTACCCTGAGGAACACAGGAGGGTAAATTAGGATGGAGGAATGAAAGAGGTGGGGAGGGCATTTCATGAATGTGACAGAGGGAAACCCCTAAAGAGGAAGGGAGAGACTACAAGGGGTGAGCACTATTGGACAAACTCCACGAAGCTGCCTCAGGCTAGAAACTTAGAACCAGGGGCTGCCTCAAAGCTCAGGCCACCCATCTCTCTTGCTGAGCCCAGTAAGGAATGGAAACCCTTAAGGTAGAAACCCTTAAGTGTCCAGGGTCACTGGTGAGTCAGGGACACACTGGAGCTCACCCCAGGTTTCATAAGGTTGGCCTAGGTCTCCAACCCCATGAGTTACATATGCCCTTCAGCCTGTCTTTGTTTTTCCTGGGGCTTTTATCTTCCTCTCTCTCGTTCTGATGGCAAGAAAAGCTGCTGGGCCCCAGGACCCCACTCCTGGTTGGCAAGTCTCGCAGCTTGGTCAGGGAGGGGATGTGGCCTGCATATGCAGTGGGTAGAGGAAACAGGCTTAGTGTACACAGTAAGAGGGGTGAAAACCTCTTTTCTAGGACAAAGGGCCCCCAAGCCTCTCAATAATCAAGATCATAGGGCTGACTTCAGTGCCAGTGAATCAGAGGACACCCTTGGGCCATTATTCCTCATCCCCTCACTCATCTGGGACTCCTTACAGATTCCACAGATGCCTGGGCTGGACTTTGTCCCTGCTGTGGCTAGTGCTGGCCCAGACTATTGCCAGCAAAGAAGGAACCAGGTATGGGCACGTACCAACTGACTCTGCCCAGCAGGAGTGAAGTTGGGTCCAGGTTAGCTCTTCCTTCCCTTTGGGGAAAGAGGACAGAGGAAGGCTTTTGATGCTTGGGGGGTCCTGCCCACTCCCCTTTCACTGATATTTCAGGTTTCCAGGGGCTGGGAGAGGATGCTGGGATCTGCATGGGGTATGGGAGACTGAAGGTTGGATGAACATTGCTAAGGGCTGGGAGCCAGGTGGCCTGGGGCTGCCCTTGCCTGTGCCCCATGGACTGGTGTCTTCCTATCTGGGCGTCAGTTTTCTTATCTGTAAGAATATGGGATTGAGACCACTGGTCTCTCAGCAGTTATACTGGAGCCTGTGGTGTCAACCAGCATGCCAAGTACTCTACAGAGAGTACTTCCTGATTCTGTCCCCCATCTGGCCCTGTCTTCTTTTCTGAAGTGCTGCAGGTTCCAACTGATAGGCATCACTACATCTCTGTACCTTTTTAGATGTGAGGCCCTTTCCTTCTGAGCCCTGCCCCTACCCCTTCCAGCCAGCCCTTGGTGCTCCTTTTCATTGCCTGGGCTGGGGCCCTCTCAGCTAGCCATTCTCCCTCCTCTGAGTGCGATTGGGAACTAGGACAGCTGCATTCAGGTCTCACTTCTGCAACATACTGTGTACCTTGAGCTAGAAAATAACCCTCTCCGGGCTTCAGGTTGGACTAGAAGATCGCCCAGGTCCGCTGTTTTGAGGAACTCACTGGTACCTTTGACTCTGACTTCAGCCTCCATTACCAGCTACCTTTACTGTGACATTAGGATAGGGACCTCCTGTCCCTCTGGCCCCAACCCTTCCCTCACTTCACTGGATTTTTGTAATAATCAGAAATATGACAGAAGTGTCAAAAATTTGAAAGCAAATATAAGATTGTTCTAGTCTGCCTTTAGGTTAAAAAAACACAATTTTCATAAAAATGGAAGAAAATTAGGAAAATAAGTACATTTCAAAATACAAGCATTCTCTCTCTCTTGCTATTTTGGTTATGTCACCTAAGTCTCTCTTCTCTCTCTCTCTCTCTCTCTCTCATCCTGCTTCACTTCCCCCATCCCTTCTTCCTTTATGAGGTTGAAGATCCCCAGAGAGATTGAGTAGGATCATTGGTCCACAGTAAGGATACACAACAGTGTCCTGGTGGGCAATGAGGAATCCGATTCAGCACCTTGGTCAGTACTTACCCCTTTTTCTCTTCCCTTCCTGCCCCTACCCCAGCTCCCAGCATTTAAGCCTGTGACTCAGGCCTTTGCAACCGATCTCCCAGTGGGGAATGGTGGGGAGCTTGGGGGTGGTGAACCGAGTTGGGGTGCAATCAGGAGGGAAGGAAGCAGGAACACTGCTTAGGTATGCACAGTCAGCCTCCCAGGTAACCTCCCTGGCAATCAGGAAGGCCTGTCCCCAGAGTCCCTGAGGTGAGCTCTGTGCTGCTAAGAGACCTTATCCCTGTTGTTTTCTATCTCTGCTGCCACCCCAGGGATAATGGCCTTGTTAGGGGCTGAGTAGGTCAAGCTATAGTAACTCAGACTTAACAGGATCCTGGACTGTTGGGGCTAGAACCCTGGCAACCCATCAATTACATCCCTGAGCTCTCCTCAGTAGACACAGGGAAACTGAGGCCCCTCAAGGGAGAGGGACATGCTCAATGTCACACAGGGTCTTCATGAATTCACCCATGAACCATGAAGACACATGAAGCTTGGCTTGCAATTAGGATTTGACTCAATAGTACAGTTCCACGATGGCTGGTTCAAGCTCTATTTTAAAGCCCAGGGGATCCCAGTTCTGGTGGCTGTTGAGAAGTGTTTCCAGAGAGGTCCAGTGGAGAAGTTGGCTTTAGCTTTGGACAGACCCAGTCTGATTTCTAGCTTTGCCAAGTAAAAGCTGGAGATCCTGGAGCAGTGAGGCTTCCTTGCTCAAACATGAGATAATAACCCTAACTTCATGGGCTTCTGTCAGTGGTTTCATAAAGTGCAGAAAGTACCAGTAAATCTGGAGAACTCAGAGTGGGGTTGCTGTCAATCAATCCTGTCCTACCCTCAGTAAGCTCTGTACTGGTCCCTCCTTCCTGCCAAGGTTGGATTCCTTTGTCCTCCTTTTATCTGTGTTAAGTGTGGTGTTCCTGGTATCAGCCTGACAATCCCAGTCTTTCATTCAAGAATTCTCTGGAAACTTATGCAACTATCTTAGAGGCAGCCTAATTTCTTGCAGTCTCTAGGGAGGTATGCCAATGAGGCCCCTATAGTTAACCCCCAGACACTTGGAAATAATGAAGGCTTAGAAGTGGCCAGTTTTCTTGGACCTGGTGCTGAGCCTGAGGGGAAAAGGGGAGGACAGACATGGAGGGGATGTTGCTCCCCCAGAGGGAGAAGATGTTTACTGAACAAAATCAGAAGGGCATGGTTTGTGGGGAGCCACAGGGATCTGAGAGGATGGGGGCGGTTATCTTAGGGATAGTCTCAAAATCATCCCTCAGCAATTGCTTAGCTGTAAACTGTGTTGCTGTCCATCAGTCAGTCAGAGACCCCTTTGTCTACCTTGCAGCTAGCCCCTCCTCCATCCTTGTTAGTGATTGGGGCATTCCTCTCTTCCCTCCCACCTCCATGCTATAGATGAAGAGCCACTTGGTGACGTAGAGCCTCCAGTCTAACCTCCTCATGCTGCAGGCAAGGAGAGATGAATGGAGCTTTAAGGTGAAATGAGTCACTGAAAAGCCTAGACTTGGCAGGATTCCTGCCATACCGCGCAGCTGCTGAGGCCTTGTGGCCTTTCCACTGCCCCTGGGCACAGCCTGTATGCCCATGTGCAGGACCCTGCTGAACTCCTGGCCCATCAGGTGGGAGTGGGGTTGACTTCCTTCCATAGCAGATCTGGGGACTTTCCTGGTCTACCTGGTCCCTTACCCTCACGGGGCATAAGGAGGAAAATGAATTTCTCAGGGTCAGAGCCAGCTCAGAGGTTCAGAAAACCTACTAAGCTCCAGACACAGACTCCAGAAGGCAGCTGGAGGAGAGGCAGGGTCTCACTAAGTGCACTGCATTTTATAGCTTGCCAATAAATCATATGATGTTGGTACTGTTATCCCCATTTTCACAGGGGCAACTGGGGCCCAGAGAGGTTAAGTCATTTTTCTAAAGTCACACAGTAGTGGAGTAGTCCCAGAAGCCAGGCTCTCGCCACTGTCCCTGCCTGCTCCCAAGGATACTCCTTTTCTCCTCCAGACAAAGTTGCAGTCATCCCTGACTGGTAAGTTTCTGGACAGGGCTATGGTGTGAGTTGGTATGGAACTCAGTTCTCATATTCCAGTGTGGGCATTGGGAGCCTTGGCAGTTGTATCCTCTCTTTGGACCTCACTCTTCCTCCTCTGTAGGAGGAGGAGCATGAGGTTTCCCCAGGAGGGCTGCCTGCGGACAGGACTAGTGTCCCTGCCTCCTTGGGATGGAACAGTTGGGACTTTATGTTTCTCAGAATTAATGGAATGGACCACTGACATCTTGTAACTTTAATTTAATAAAAATCGATAATAACTCACAAAATGGGTAACATTTTAAATAAAAATACTGCTGGGGGTGGCCCAGATTCTAGGAGTTGGATTCTGGGGGTGGATGAGGGCTGAGGATTCCTCTTGCTCAGGGGAGGCCCCAGTGCCTGGCAAATGTGATTTGGAGCCCCCCATGTTCAGCTATTCTGTCTCCTTTGGAATAGGTGTGCTCAGAGACCCCAAGCACAGAATCGAGGCCCCAGGATTAGAAAGAAAGGCCAAGGCTAAGGAGACATTTTGGCTCCATCTTGGAGGCCCACTCCTCAGGTTGTTGCCTCTGGGCAGAGATTCAGCCACAGTGGGACACCTCCAGCCTGTGCTGCTTCAAGGTCAAGGCCTCGAGGTGGACTCTTCTCTCCTGAGTTCTTCATGGTTGAATGCCATGACAAAAAGTGCAGATGGGTTTGCTTAAAATCCATGCTAACTTTCTTGTAAGTGTGCCTTTTTGTATGGCTGAGGTTGGAAAGAGGAAAACTACATTCCCCAGACTCCCTTGCAGCTAAGGGTGGGGATTTGACTCAAACTTCCACCAACAGAAGCCCTTCTAGAGGTGTGGATTTGGGACCTGAGTTAAGTGGAGAGAGGCAGGCCTCAGGACAGCCACTCGCTGGTGGGGACAGTGGCAGAGGAATCACAGTTCTGCAGTCAACAGCTTCTGATGCAGTGGATTCCTGCAGGTGGGAGCAGCTTTCTGGTCACAACAGACATGATGAATCTGGCAGCTGGAGTTGTTCTTGGAAATTCAACAAAGACTCTGCTCCTCTAGCCTTTCCAATGATTTTGCAAGCAGCCAGGGAGCTGGTAGTAAATCCCTGTCTAATTAAGCCAGTTAAAATGGCTCTTGTTTCTGCAGCAGGATCCTAAGTGAGATAGATGCCAAATCTGAAAAGGGTCCCAGCCTTTCAGGCTGTCCTAGCAGGTCACAGAGGCCTGGCTGACAAGGGCTGGCTGGACCCTCATCCAGAGCTGCTTGGGACCTTGTTCATCCAGTGATGTGTGTCCTGCTTGTGCCTTTAGCTAATGGGCTCTATATCAGCCTGTGGGAAGAGGGAACCCTCATCCTGCCTTTTGGCTGTGGGCAGGAAGGTGGTGACACAGTGGCTGTAATTTGTGAGCTCAACTACTTTGTGTCTTCCACAGGCCAGAGCATCATTTCTGACTGGCCAATCCCTGGAAAAGAAGAACCATGTAGCTCTGGGTACAGGGGCAGCAGGAGAAGGTGGTTCTCAGACAACCCAAGGACCAGCTGCTGCCTGTGTCCACTGTGAGCTGAGGTCAAGGGTAGATTGGCCCATCACTGGTGTGGTTAGGGGCAGGTCTTAGGTCATGAGCATAAGAGGATTCTGTGTCCTTTGGGCTGCTAACTATTGGCTACATCCTGAGGCCAGGGCAGCCGGGCAGGAGGAAGACAGAGGGAGGTAGTCCCCCGCCCTTAGGAGGATGGGAATGAGGGCTGGGCAGGGCTGCCCTGAGGAGAATCCATGTCACATCCCCATCAAGGTCAGACCTACAGAACATCACTGCTGGAAGACATTGAGGAATCATGGAGTACCACCTCCATGTCACGAACAGAACGACAGTAAACAACCAGCTGGAGGTCTCAGAGTGGCTGAGGTGGGCTCAAGTCCAGACCTCCCATTTGCTGGGCAGGGCGCTTGCTGGTGGTAGTGGCCCCAGGAGGCTGTGGTCCCCCCTTGGCCAAGACTAGATGCGAACAGTATTGATCCGCAGTGGCTGGACGTTCTTGCCATTGGCGTGGCTCTGGCCGGGGCTGAAGTAGGAGCAGAGCTTACCAGGGAACTTCTCACGGAAGGTGTAGAGCCAGGACATGTCGTCGGCATTGTAGAAGATGAGCAGGCCCTGGTCGTAGTCCAGGAAGACACCCACCTTATCAAGCTTGTCCCGGACGTTGAGCCGCGTCCAGGGCTCTGTGCAGGCGCTGTACTGGTTACCGTCATGCATGACGATGCAGTAGAAGCCACGGCTTGGCTGGATCTGGATGCTTCCCTTACGGCTGGCAGCCTCATGTGCCAACCCGATCACCCACTGGGTCTTCTCCGCCACCACTACCTCCCAGTAGTGGACGCCACTACTGAAGGCCTCAGAGCCCAGCACTGACACCTCCACGTCAAAGCGCTTTGGGGAGTCCTGCAGAGGCTGTGGGTGCAGGTTCCCATAGGCCACAATGGTGCAGTCGTCGGATAGGATCAGGCGCTGGTGAGCAGTGCCTGGGTCCAGGGTCAGGGCGGCTGGAACTGTGGGAGGAGGGTGAAGGAGGGAGAGATCAGTAGAGAGAAGGCTGACTCAGTGTGTGACCCTGACTCACTGTGTGACCCTGAATACAACCCACCCTCTCTAAGCTTTTCTTCCTACCCTGTAAAATGGAAGGGTGTTGGCTAAGGTCTGCCTGCTTTATACTCACCTACAGGCCAGCACTAGTCTGGCCGCTTGGTCATTGGCTGATGCCTGGGCAAGGCATAGAGTGACTACTCCACTAATATTTGTAGAATTAACCAGAAGGAGGTTCAGAACTGGAGAATTTCAGAGTTGGGAGGGAGCATAAAGATTGGCCAGGTGCTACTGCCCCCTAGAGGGTTGCTTTGAAATCCCTGAAGGTGTTTGGATTGTCTCCTCCACACATAGGATCCAAGGATGCCAAAGACCTTGAATGATTCTTTTTTTTTTGGCAGCACTGGGGTTTGAACTCAGGGCTTCATTCTTGCTAGGCAGGAGCTCTACCACTTGAGCCACTCCACCAGCCCAAGACCTTGAATGAAAATGCACAGGTTTGTCCTGCCAAAGAAAGGACTATCTCACTGCCTACTCCCACCAGTGATGTCCACATGTCCCCAGGTGTTCCATCAGACATTCATATAGATGAAAAATCTTTTTATAATGACATGAAACTATAACCTAACTCCATTGCATGTATAAACTTTAAATAATTTTTTCAGTTTTAATATACACTGAGCATTTTGGAATGCAACTACTAAACTGGGGGAAGGCTGAATTTTTTTGTTTGGAACTTCACTAAGAATTGGTCACCTTTTTAGAAAATATAACCCTAAGGTCAACTCCTCTGACTGATCCAACCTCCCTCCGTGGGCCAGCAAGTGAGTTGGAATAGTGTTTTATCTACAATATGAGTGCCTGACTACAACACTGTTTTCCAGTGTGGTTCTACCTAATGACAAATGTTTTATTATAAACAATTTCCTTCTATTTTTCCTTCGTATGATAGTCAGAATATATATACACACATATTATATATGTAAACACACATATATACATTATATATATAAGGATATTCTTGAAATTGTGAAAAAGTTAGGTGATCTTTGAGACATTACTAATTACTTGTTATGACAAGTAGACATTGTGTCTGAAAAAGTTGAAAACCACTAATTCTAAGCCAACTTTTCATTTGACAGATGGAAAGACTGAGACCCCGAGAGGAGACATGACTGATCTTAAGTCAGCAAATACTAACAGAGCCACTGGCCTCCTGGCTCCAGCCCTTTGTACCAGTCCACTTCTCACTCACTGCCCCACTCTGCTCAGGCCCAAAGTCCTTGCTCACACTGTCCCTTCACACCTCCTCTCTGCTACTGTGATCACCCCCAAAGGTCAATTCAAAGGGCCCACTCTCTGGAAGCCTTTCTGGCAGCCCAGCAGGCATGTTCCCTTTCACTTCTGAAGTTCCTAGTTATGTCTGTGCCCCTGTCCTGGCATGGAACATGATCTCCTGTGCTCAAATCTTACCATGCTTGCACCAAGAGGTCAAGGGCTAGGTACCCTTGAACTTAACTTTCCCCTGTGTGCACAGTGCCCAGCACAGGGCCTGGCACAGGGCAGGCCTCTGGAAATGTTTACTAATTTAAGTGATCCTGTTTGTGTTGGGCAGATGGTACAGGCTGGGTCTCCTGCCTCTGGGCTGGCCATACCGGCTAAGCAGGTCAATCTCAAAGTCTCAAGAACCCTTGTCAAGACCTCTGTTTACTTTCTTCTTATTCTGATGACTAGCTAAAGGATCAGAGACAATCTGGGATTGGTGCCCCTCAGTCTAGATGGCCAACTCCAGGCCAGAACAAGACAGAGGGGAGAAGTGGGAGATGGGCTCATGCCACAATTCATTGGTTGAAGGACATCTCCATCCAGCTCCCTGGCCCTTCCCTTCTCTATGTGAGCAGGGACATCATGACACTCGCTGGAGTTTTACTCCCTACTTCAGTCGCCTGTGGGCTGCGTACATGCAGAGAAATAAAATGCCTCAGTGGGGGTGATGGTCCCAACAGGGAGCAACAGCCAGTGCCTGAGCTGCACTTCTGTTAACACGTCCACTAACGAACTGGCCACTGACCCAAATCAAGCCCCTTCTGTGGTCTGTTGGAGTAAATTTAATTTCTACTCTTAGAAGTCAGAGAGCTGAATGAGAACAACAAGCCCTGTGAAGAGAGGGGCCAATGGAAACAGTTCTCTATCCGGGCACATAAAAGAGAGACAGCTGTGAGAAGAAAGACACCGAGTCTACAGGTGAACCTTGCCTGTAGTCTGACTGGTCACAGGGCAGCTGGTTAGAAGCAGAAGGCTCCTGCCCTGTGCAGTGTGTGTGTGCGTGTATGCGTGCGTGTGTGTGTATGTATGCATGTGTGTGTGTATTGTATGCGTGTGTGTGTATGTATGCATGTGTGTGTGTATTGTATGCGTGTATGTCTGTGTGTGTATGTGTGCGTGTGTGTGTATTGTATGCGTGTATGTATGAGTGTGTGTATGCATGTATGTGTGCATGTATTGTATGTGTGTGTGTATGTATGGGTGTGTGTATGTGTGCGTGTGTGTATATTGTATGTGTGTGTATATACATATGGGTGTGTGTATGCATGTATGTGTGTGCGCATGTGTATTGTATGCGTGTGTGTATGTATGTGTGTGTATGTGTGCATATGCGTGTGTGTGTGTGTATGGTGGGGGACAGATGGGGAGAGAAATTCCTAATCAGATAGAGATGGGGTTAGCCCAACACACAGTACAATGTGTCTGCAGCAGAGGGCAAGGGCTGAGAACAATAGCAGTTTGGAGTGCCCTTGCTAGGCAAGTGCTCTACTGCTTGAGCAATGCCACCAGCCCCTAACCCTCCCTTTCTTCTTTTTCAAATAGGGTTTTGTGTTATGTCCAGGCTGGTCTAGACTTCAGTTCTCCTATTTATGCTTCCCTGGTAGCTGGCATAACAGTTATGAGCCACCGGGCCCAGCTTATTAGTTGAGATGGGGCCTTGGTGACTTTTTGCCCAGGATGTCTTCTAACTTCAACCCTCTGATCTCCACCTCCAGAGTAGCTAGGATTACAGGTGTGAGTCACTGGCCCATAGGCTTCGTATTTTACAGGTCAGAGCTCATTTCTAGGTGGTAGGACTCTGAGTTCATAACCACAGAGGCTGAGTGTGAGGGGGCCTGTCTGGCCTCTTAGGTATGTTGTCCTTCCCTGAAGCCTCTAAGCCAAAAGGTACTCAGGAAGGGTCACTACTAGGGGCCCTGGACATGCTTCCCTGCCCCTAGGCCATTACCACCCAAGAAGCATAGCCCAGCACCATTGCTTGGCAGCCAGTGGCTGGATTTCTTTGTTCTCAAGGATAGTGGCTGGCCTGCAGGGGCCTGACAGGACAGGAAATGTGTCAACTCTTTTCTCCCACCAGGCTTTTCAAAGAATCCGTTTCCCCAGGCCCTCAGCTGCATAGGGTAGGCACCACAAGACAGCTTCACATTCCTGACACTGAGAGGAACAGCATGACAGTCCTGGAGGCACAAATTACTGTACCCATTTTCTTAGGAGAAAAAATGGAGGCTCTCTGAGTTAAGTGACTTGCTCAAGTTGCCTCTTGGGCTGAAAGTGGAGTTGGAACATGAGCTGAGTCTTTTCATGTCATGTTCTGACCTTCATGTGGCCCCAGAAAGCCTGTTCAGTAAGACTGAGGGAGCAAGGATCTGATGATTCATGATAATGGTTGCAAATAGTAGCAAGTCTTACTAAGTTGCAGGATTATTACCCCAAATTAAGAAGTTAATGTAATTCTCATTCCTGCCCTGGGAAATAACTGTGGCTATCCCTGTTGTAGAGATGAGGAAACTGAGGCTCAGATGGGGGGGGGCTCTTTGTCTTGGGTCACACGGCTAGGCAGAGAACATGCTGGACTCCAAAATGATTGGATCCAGATGAGCAGGGAGTCGAGAGGAGCAGTGTCCGGTGTCCTTGGGACAACAGGCTGTCTGACCACTGCAGAGATTTGGGCCTGGGAGCTGCGTGATCAGACCAGGTTGGCAGAAGGATGGCAGTGGGAGGATGGCTGGGGGGGGATGGGCAAGGGGTGGGTGGTGGTCAGTGGAAGCTAGCAACAGGTGCTAAGTGCGTCTTGCAGGCAACCTAGTAGGAAGCCTGAGCTATGGAGGGGAGAGAGGAGGCAGGAAGTTGCCAGAAGCCACAAGCTAGGTCCCTGGGGGCACCCCTCCCATCTGGACATAAAGGGCTCCTATGCTGGCAGAGAAGCCAGAGTGACTTCACAGGCCCCACAGACAAAGGAAGGGGCCCAGTCAACTGGGTCACTGTTCTCTGACATCCCAGGGGCCTTTGTTGTGGGCCGGATGTTCAGGGTGTACACTGGTGCTCCCTCAGCCCTTTGGAAGGCAGCATTCTCTGCTCAGTGGTTTCAAGTAGGGCATTTTTGCTTCCCAAGGGAATGTCCAGAGACACTTACATCTAGTGCATAGAGGCCAGGGACGCTGCTAAGCATATTGCTGTGCACAGGTCAGTGATAACAGAACGTACTCAAGGGTCAGTGGTGCTGAGGCTGCGAAACCTGCCTGGGGCAGCCAGCAAGTCTCCCATCTATTTGCCTACCTGTGAGGATGGTGAAAAGGAGCCCTGGCATCTGTGTTAGTCAGAGGAGGAAACTGAGGCTCAAAGGAGGAAGGGGCTTATCCAAGACTGTGCAACAAGCTCCTTCATTCAACATTTAGTAAGCACCTGCTCTGTGCTAGAAACTTCTGGTACCAGAACCAGGACAAGGTCTCTTTTCTTCATTCACCATGACTGTGCTGGCTGCTGGTGATGGATTAGACCCAGTCTGACTCCTCAGAGCTCACAACAGAGACACCCCAGGGGGATGGCCCAGAACCACTGCCCTGCCCTGTCTGCTAGAAAATGGGCCCTTCCCTCAGCTGCTGCCCCGCTGCTGCCCCCCGCCCCCCATGTCAATGAGGGCATAGAACTGGGCTTTCAAGAACTAAGGGCTTCCTTTCACATCTATGACATCAGGAGTGACATATCAGATGAGGCCTGTGGTCCAGCACTTACATGTTCAGCAATTGTCCCCAGCCCTCTCTGTCCCTCCAGGGGCTTGACTGTGAACATCCTGGGGTCAACCATGTCCCTGCCTACCCCCCGCTCCTCACTCAGAAGCAGCGCCCAGTTCAAACATCATCTGTTCTGAACTTCCCTGGCCCCTAGACTATGGCCTCACCCACAGTCTCCTGTTGGGCTTCCATGGCACATGTAGTCCCTTGCCCACTGGACTGTCAGAGTTTGGTTTCTTGCTTGTCTCCCTTGACTCCTTCAAGTACCTCAAGTGACTTTTATTGTTAATAGAGTGGAGAATGAATCCAGGTGGAAGAACTCTGACTCCTGTGTGACCTTAGGAAGTCAGTGAAGCCCCCCTGAGCCTCCCCAGTTGCCCTCAGTGGTACAAGTGGAAGAGCATCTATACCACCACCTGGGGTACAGGTATGCTAACAGAACTTGCCTCATGTAGCTCAACAGGAGTCCACTGAGCTGAGTGGTTGTGTGGGTGCCCAGCATGGGCTCTGGGGTACAGCAGGTGCTCAGCAAGGCATCTGTGCATGTTCCTGCCCTGCCCACCCCCTCCTCCCCATCCCATGCTAATCCATGCATGTTACTGGGCTCCTTTAGGGATGGTGGGCAGAGCCTCACCTGGGTGGATATCCTGGAACAGGGATTTCCAGATGGTGTACTGCAGGGGACCCGTGTACTTGGAGGTCGGGAAGTCTTCATACGTCAGGTTGGTCTCATGGATTTTCCCCTTAAGCCTAGAAGGACAGCAGGGGAGAAGGCTACATGGGGGACAAGATTCCTGACCTCATGCTGGGGCTCTTTGGCCGCCTTGGGGCAGCTGATAAAAGGTGAAGTCACGAGTGATTTGTCTGCAGGACTCGGATACACGTGCCTGCTTGTGCCAATTCTGGCCTCTCTAGCTATTACTCTGCTTTCTCATCTTTAAAGTGGGTGCTACACTAGCATCAGCCTTTGAGGCTGTGTTAGCAATCAGTGTTGCTCCCCAATGAACCAATAACTGTTATTATTAAAGGCAGCTTTGGGGTGCAGGTGCCTAGAAACCTGGGCTTCAATCCTGGGCCCATCACCTAGCTGAAGGGCCTTGGCCAATTGATCTAGCTTCTCTAAACCTCAGCTTCTGCATATATGAAGTGGGGGGTGTCAGTGGTAACTACCACTGAGAAGGTTGTCATAATGTAAAACTTTTATAGAATAATACGTAACATCAACACCATTATAAATAATACAAGTAAACATTACATGATTATAATTAAATCACTTACCCTATATAATATAGACGCAATGTATTATATATAGACTAACATATAAAGCCTTCAGCCCAAGCTCTGGCACACATAGTTGTGCCATAAATAATTGCTAAAGGTGTGAATGAGTGGATTCTCTGCTGACAACCCTATCCATCAACCCCACCACCTCGCATGGGCTGGGAGAAGCTGGCCTCCTGGGGAAGACCACTGGCAGGTGGCACTTACCGCTCAGACAGGGAGGCCACCCCAGCCAGGAAGGTGTGCCGGTCGGTTTCAGCCAGCCGCTCCTGCAGGATCTGGGCACCCTCCTGCACCTTGCGCAGCTGCTGGCTGTAGCGCTGGACCTTCTGTTCAATGTCAGTCAGTGTGCGGGCTGTGTCTGCCTCCAGCTCCTCCAACATGGCCTTCTGCCTCTCACGCAGCAGCCGGTGCAGCCGCTCGAAGGCCTCACCAATGGTGGTCCGCAGGCTTTTGGTGGAAGACTGTGTGTGGGGGGACAATTGCCGGTAGTTATGGCAGGGGGTGCAGGTGCTAATGGAATGCAGCATGAACCCCACTGTGTTCAGTCCCCAGGGAGAGGAGGAAGCTGAGAGCCTCAGCTCTGCAGAGAGGGAGAGTGGGAAAGACATGCTAGGTGGGGGCGACTTGAGCATAAGTGTAGCTGTGAAAAAGGACCGGCACAGTGGGGACAGCACATAGTCAAGTGGCCAGTTAGGAAATGAATGAAATGGTCCAGGAGAGACACCAGGCCATGGAGGTAAAGGGGAAGGTATTATTATGCCCAGATTTCCAGCACACCTTCCTCCTTCCTGGCTGGGGTGGGAGCAGGAGGAACGGGGAAGCTGGAGAAGGAGAAGGAGCAGGGAGAAGATGGGTTCAGCTTGGGATGGAAGCTTTCATTTAGAATGACTCATCCATGAGGCTCAAGGGAAGATGACAAGGACATCACAGAGGTCACAGAGCTTCATAAATTGAAAGATGCTTGGCAAACCTTGGTGGTCACTTGCCTGTCCTGCTACCCCTAAGATCCTTAGCTGAGAAGATTGTAAGGCTATTGTCAGTGAAGGACAGCACGGACCTGTATGGTTCCCTCTGCCCTGTGGGCATGGAAAGGCCCAGGAGGACAAGGATGAGGAAAGGACACAGGATTTGGTGCCTGGCAGCCTGGAAGAGTCTCAGCTCTGGATCTCTAACTGTGGCTTAAGCTTCATGAACCTTAGTTTTCCTATTTGAGAAAGGAGTAGCAAAAATAACATCGCGGGAGATGATGAAGATAAAAATGGGTGTCCATTAAATCTGTGACATGGTCCCAGATATGGAGAAAGAACCTGGATATAGAGAAGGAACAGGTTTTATTTGCATCCTGGGAGTCAGTCCTCATGAAGAGATGCTTCTGAGCAGGGGTCCTGAGGATAGGCAGGTCACCAGTTGCTGATGGATGGACAGGCAGAGGGAACAGCCAGAGGAAAACTGAAAGTCAGGCGACACAGGACACGCAGCATGTGGGGATTGCCTCTGCAATTTCACTTTGTGGGCTTTGGGCTGGCAGTTCATGGAGTCAGACACCCCACTGTGTTCAGTGCCCAAGGCTCTGTGGGAGGCTCCACAAAGGCTCAATTAGGGCTTGTTCCTTCCCGTAGTGGCTGCTGGCCTGCAGGAAAAGTTGCTGGCAGTGGGCCAATCTCCCTGCGCATGCCCACCCAGCACGCCAGGCAGACAAAGAGGGGGTGGAGGAGAGGCTGGGGATGGACAGCCAGGCTACAGCTGCCTCCTGGAGCCCCTCACCCAGGGAGGGCTGAGGCTGCTGCTGACAGGGAGGATGGGGTCTGCCTCCCCAGCCCCTCTGGAGCTGTACTTCACAGTTCCCAGGTCCCATATCCACTTGGTCTGGCTCCTCCTAGTCCACCCTGCAGCAGTGTTCACCCACTGGTCACTTTCTGCAGATGGAAAGTCCTAGTTTGCCTCCCACCTCAGGGGCCACTCCTCATTCCAGACCCAGCTTGAAAGTTCCCTTCCCCAAGATGCCTTCTTTACCTTTTTCAGAGAGTTAGATGTCTCCAGAGCATTTGCAAAAACACTTCTAATACACTATGCTCCCTGGCTAGCGGGTGAGCCCTTCCTGGGTAGGAAGGACAAATCCCCAGCTCTGTCCCCCAGGGCCCATCTCAGGGGCCTGGCACAAGGCTGGCAGTCAGGAACAACTTGAAGGGTGAAGGAGGGAGGGAAGGAGGGTCATGATCAAGATTATGCCACAAAGCTGGGTGTGAGCTGCACCTTTTTTCCAGGCTGGGGCTTCCAGTGTCCCAGGACAAGGGTTATGAGTAGAAAAAGAGGATGGAAGGCAGCAGCTCAGAAGTGGCATGTCAGAGTGACAGCCAGGAGCCCCCATTGTGTCTCTGATGGGCCCTCCCAACCTCCCCAGTTTGCTAGCCACAAGGCCATACATCTTGCTGAGGACAATCCAGGAGACATCCTATTGTGAGGCTGGAATACACACTACGTGGAAGTCCCCAACTTGTCACTTACTACCGTGGGGCCTCAGGTTGATCCATCAGTTTCCTCACTAATAAAATTTGGATAACAACAGTTCCTACTCACAAAGGTGTTTTATTTTTCTTTTTACTCATTCGCTCTACAATTACTTATTGTGGATCAGACACAGTGCAAGGTTTGGGAGTCCCAAAGTAGTGGAGGTGACAATGAAGGGGAAACTCAATTCTCAGTGCTTTCCAGGGCAGAGACACCCTGCCCCCAACCCTCCTTTTGGTACCTTGGCTGGGAAAACAGCCCCCAGCCCAGCTCAGCCTGCAACACACTAGGCCTGGGGCAGCTGAGGCCCTTTCAGAAAAACACCCTGTCAAGAACATGACACCCTCAGGGTCGACCAAGGAAAACACAGGGCCAGAGGAGGGAGACTAGACAGGACCCCAGGCAGGGCCACTGGAGGGCAGGCACTGCAGGAAAGCCAGGCAGGCACCAGGTGAAATATGGCCTCAAAGCTGCCATTGGCATTTCTTGTATAAATATCCTAGTCCAGACAGGAAGCAGGGCTGGGGGAACTGGAGAGGGAGGCAGCCCTCACAGGACCCCCCAGAGGCAGACAGATGGACAGGAAAGCAGGGCAGGAGGAGGTCAGTGGAGAAAAATAAATGTGAGGGAAGAAGAGAAGGGAATGCTGCTGGGGTGGGGGGGGAGCGGGAACAGACCCTCAGATCCACGCTTCTCCAGAGAGAGGCTTCTATTTGTTCCTTATCACTGGAGAAGTGCAGAGTCACCAGAAATGTGGGGGAAACTGAGGCTGTGAGAAGTATTGAGGCCACAGCCCTGTGCCTGTTTCTCATCTGTTGCCAACTGAGCGTCCTGCCCAGAGGCACTCTGGAATGTTCTCTGAAGAAATATGTGTCATGACCTCCCTGAGACTTCACAGCATGTTGGTGGTCACGCTGGGGTACAGATCTAAGCTTCTAAAGGCATATCAAGGGCTCAGGGTGACCGCTGGAGGTCTGAAGTTTCCCGGCTTTGCTCCAGCTGCTGCGGCTCTCCTCTAATGGGAGGGGGCAGCCTGAGCCCCCCTAGATCTCATTCCTCTTTTCACAGGGATTCTGCAGGGCTCCTTCCAGCCCCGGAGTTCTGGGTTGAGCCCAGCAGAGTTTCCACTGTACAGATAACAAGGCTGGGGGCCCAGAAAACTAAACTATACAATTTACTCAAAGACCCGCCCCCCATCACTGCAGCTAGACAGAAGGATTTTGCCTTACTTTATGGCCTGAGCAGAAAAGGGGAGATGACACCAGGGCTGGCTTAGAGGGGACATGCCCAGGGTTGGCTTGCTGGGCAAAGGACATGTTTAATAAGGGGAGCAAAAAGAGACTGGAGACACTCTCCAAGCCCATCAAGGCACTGGAGATTTTGGGAAGGTTCCTGGTCCCATCCCAATTTCCATCTAAAATAGGAAAGGAGAAATGGTCCCATCCTCCCCCCAGGCATCAACCCAAATCCTTGACCCCTCACCTGGGGGCCATTGACTGTCACAGAAACCCCACCCTCAGCCCCCTGCCCTGCTTCTCTCATGCCAGGTTTGGCTCCTCAAGTCAGATCCCCTCTGGGGACCCGAGGCCCGCCCTTCTCCTTCCCAGATGACCCTGCCCCCAAAGTCCCACCCCAGTGCCAGGCTCACCTTGGTCTCCGCCAGCTGTCGCTTGAGCAGCTGCAGAGCCTCCGTGTGCTCCCGCTCGCTGTCCTGAAGGGCCTGAAGCTGCTCCTTCAGCTCCCTCTAAAACACATGCACGTTAGCACAGGGGAGCAGTCCTCACTTGGCCTGCAGAGTCCAGCCTTGCTCTCCATGAAGGGCATCATTCTGACCCAGCCCTTCACCCCAACACCCCTCTCCCATTACACTCCTGTAACCATCAAGTCCTGTACAGTCTGTTTCCTAGACAGCTATAGAATCATCTCTATCTTTCATCTGGATTTTTGGTAACAGCCTCCTCTCTGCGTATCCTAGGAGTTTTGGTCTCCCTGAGTCCAAATTACCTCTCCATGCATGCTACCCTGTCATATCCCCACTTAACCATTGGCTTCTCGCTTAGACCTCTAATGGGGAACACAGTTCACAGCTACAGACTCGCCCCCACATTCTCTGAGCGCTCGCCTGGGCTAGGCACTGGTCTCTGTCCTTAATTTGTAATAATTCACTGGAGGCTTTCGCTAGCCTTAAAGTCAGCACTACGATTATTCCGATTTTTGGATGGAGAAAAAGGTACACAGAAGAAATGTGCAACTACACATGTAACCCTAAGGCCAGAATGGGAACCCAGGCATCTATCTGATCTTGAGGCCCATGACCTAAGTCAGGGGACACATTTTCTACAATGGTGATACCCACGATGACTAACGACAACAAACCCACAATAGTCGAGACATCACCACGTGAAGTAAAAACAGGATCACTACACTGATTTTCCATTTGTCTCAGGTAGGCCTTGCCTACATCGCTGATACCTTATTTGTGATGGACTTTTTGCACTAATTTTGGTGAAGAAATATTGCATTAAATATGGTTCATGTCGATACTGGAGTTGTTTGGCACCTGCTCCGATCCTGTGCCTCCCGCCCTTCACCCTCTGTCTCCATCCTCCTCACTCTCACTCTCACTTTGCCAAGTGGGCTTCTTCTGCTGCTCTGGCATCCGAGTTTATTCTAATTGCAGGACTTTACACTTGCTGCTTCTTCGGGCTGGTGCCCTCCACTGTCAGCTTTTCTCATGGTGACTCTTGTGTCATTTTCTCACCAACTCTGAGTCTTGTCTGACCACCCCGTGGACGTGGGCATCTCCTTACACCTGTCCCACACCTAACTTCACAGTCCTGGTAGCATTATCCCCTGTCCGAAGTGAGTACTCATTTACCTGCCTGCATGTTTATTGCTGCCCTTCACTGGGATGTGATTTCACGAGGGCAGGAATCTTGTCTGGCTTGTTCTCTGCTGTATCCCAGGGCCCAGAATGGTGCTAGCATGAAGCAGGGCCTCCGTAACTATTTCTCAAGTAAATGAGTGGGTTGTGGAGGTGGGTGTTCTCCTGCACAGCATCCAGCTGCCTGCACTTACTGAACCCCTAGCCTTTGTACCATATCCAGTTGATCTCCTGTCTGTCCCTCTTCCTTCCCCAGTTAGCCCACAAGTCCTCCAGAGCTGGCCTTACTGCTCTCTCCCTATGCCCTGTACCCAGCAGTGGCCTTGCCCAGAACTAGGGCTAGAAGTTTGCTGTGTGAATGAATTTCCATGGAAACAGCCTCTGAGCAGGGCCTGGGGTCCTCAGTCAGCTTCAGCTGAGTGATCCCAGAGATCAACCCACTCTCCCACTCATTTACCTCCTCAGAGTAGGTAGGATCCTCAGCAAACATCTGGCTCGACTAATTTTACAGACTAGGTAACAACATAGGCAAATGGTCATGATGACATGTGGAGGGAGGAATGCAGAAAATAAAATTATCTTTGCTGACTATCACTTATTCATTCAACAAATATGTATTGAGCAGCTATTATTTTCCACTGAAGACAGATACAGTCCCTGCCCACAAGGATTTTCCTGTCTAGTGGAGAAGACAGACCGTATATAGGAAAAGTGATCACAGAGCAAGACAATTATCAGTGTTGTCTGTGTTATATAAAAAATAAAATAGTATGGGGTGGGGGAAATTTTAGATCCCGTGGTCAGTGAAGGTTTCTGAGAGGAGGTAACAAGAGCGATGACAGCTGAATGATAAGGAGGAGCTAGCCATGAAGAGAGGGTAGGAGAGAAGGATGGGAGCAGTGTGTTTTGTGGGACACCATAGTGTCTGCCCATTTCCACGGTGTAAACGCTCCTGCCGAAGTGGACCTCTAACTGTTGGTGTGAGCTCACCGGACACAGGGGCTGGTGCAGCACACCATGGCCTGGAGCCCTCTCCCAGGGACATGTTTTCTGGGAGAGAGACAGACACCCCATTGAAGTCAGCTATGGTTAGGTCTCTAATGGTAACAGTTGATCCCCATGCATCTGAGTCTTCAGAGCAGAAGACCCTCATACACCCGAATGCACGATGACCTCGCGTCAGGCCTGCCCTGACAGCCTTGGGCCTGTCCAGCTTGGCACTTAGTTTGGCCAAAAGAGAGCTACTGGAGGCGATGGGCCAAGTGTTACCGTTCTCCTCCTATGTGGTCCCCCGGGTCCACGGAAGGCCCAGCCACATGGGCGGCTCTTGAGTATTTCTCAGAAACAGCCCTGGAGACCATATTCCTTTGCTCAGGGCACCCAAGGGACTTGGACAAATTCCTCCCTGATGTTGGACTCAAGGAATAAGGAGAGCTGGCTTGCCCCTTCCTTCTGAACTCCAGGAGTGACAGAACACTCATTCAGTCATTCCACAAATGTGCTGAGGGCTCCTCGGGCCCCCATGGTGCCACATCAGGGGTGGGGAGAGGGATGAGGGACAAGTCCTGCCCCGTGATGGCATAGGGCATGCATGAATTGGGGAGATGGGGACACAGACACATCACAGCAAATGATGTATAGTGTTAGGGGCCCCCAGACCTGCCCCTCACTAGGGAGAGATGCTTCCATCTCTGTGAAAGGCATCCCACCCACACCAACCAAGCCAGAAAGGCGTCATCTTGACACCTCCCACCCCAAACCAGCCCAGTCACAGGTTTGCCCCGCCATCTGGTCCCTCCTCTCTTTACCATGGTTCCTGATTCGGTTTTTATTACTTCTCTTCTGGGCTGTAGCCTCAGGCTCCTCCCTGCCTTTGCACTCTCCCCACTGTCCCAAGCACCCCACACAGCACCTGGAGTGACAGATGTGAAAATGGTTCTCCCCCTACCCTATGCCCCTCTGCAGTGTCTGGGAAGAAGGGCACAATGACCTTAGAGCAGCAATCAAGACCCTTCACCCCCTTCCCCAACCCTTGCCAGTCTTATCTCTTGGTTTGGATCTGTGCTGTCCAATATGGTAGCCAAGAATCCCATGTGGTTACTTAAGTTGCAATTAATTAAAATGAAATAAAATTGAAAATTCAGTTCCTCCAGTTGCACTGCCCTCATTTCAAGTGCTTAATAGCCACCTAGGACTAATAGCTACCGTATCAGACAATGTAGATGCAGAACTCTCCCATGTTCCAGAAAGATCTATCAGACAGCACTAAGCATCTCACAGTGCTCACCTCTGGGCCTCTGCATGTGCTGTGTCTGCAATGCTCACACACAAGAGTTTTTTTCCCCTACGTGTGGGACTTGTGGACCAAAGGTTGCCTCCACTGAGAATTCATCTGCCTCCTCCCACACTGTGGTCAGACACTTCTCTGTGTGCACAGGCCTGTCCTTGCGACACTACTTTAATTGCCAGATTAGCTGTCAATCTCCAGAGGGCAGAGACCATCTGGGAGATTTTTATACTCTCGGTACCTACAACAGGACCAGGCACAGCCTAGCCTTCTGTTTTGCAGGGTGGACCTGCCCAGGGATGAAGCAATGCCAGGTGTCCACTCCCCTCTGCAAGGATGGTAGGAGCCAGCCATAAAAATGGGGTAAGACAGGAGAATGGGGGCAGCAGCCCAGTATGCAGCTCTCCCCAGGTAGGCCAGGTTTGGAGCCTAGAAAACAGCCACCTTAGGAAAACCAAACACTGGGACCTGCTCAGATAGGCTAGGTTTAGGAAGCAGTCAGTGCTGTGTCACCCTACCCCACAGGTCTCCTTCTCATGCTGGGGCCAGAGAGACTTGGGTTAGGAGGCTGGCTCTGCCACCCACTAGCTGTGTGCTCTTGGGTTGTCACCTAATCTGTGTCCTGATCCCTTGTTTGCCAAGTGAGGATAATAATATCTTTGAGGGTTGGGAGGGCAAAATGGGACAACAGTAGGGAGTGTTCACCCTCCCAGGGCACAGAACCTGGCATATACCAGGTGCTGAGGTATGTGATGAGGCTCCTTAGTCATTTCATGTCCTTGTCCCATACTGTGTCCAGGCGGCCCCTTCCTGCCTCCTCCTATGCCAAGAGCAGGAAGGGCCAGAGGGACCATCTGTTCCAACTCCCACAACTGCCAGGACAGGAAACAGAAGTCCAAGGAAAGGGAGTGACTGGCCCACGGCCACACTGCTCACCAGTGGAGAGTAAACCGGAAAGTCTACTCACAGCAGCAAGGCCAGACAGGAAACAGGATCTGTTGATAAACTCCTAAGTGACAGAGCCAACCCAGAGGAAGGACACTGTGACTACAGCCATGCCAGAAGCTCAAGACCAGAGGGGTTGGAGGTGGACATAGTTTGGATTTGAATTTCACAGGCGTCGCATCATCTAATTCTCACAACAGTCCAGTTAGGGTCCATCTTATGGAGGGAGGAATTGAGGATCAGAGAGATTAGGCAGCTTGCTTGAGGCCACACAGCTAGTAAAAGACAGAGGCTCCGAGTGACTCCAAAAATCCACGTCTGAAACCACTCAGCCTCTCTGCCTCCCATTCAACTCAAAACAGCAATGATTTCTGAGCACCTGCTGAGCATCAGGCTTTGTGCTGGTGACCCTGGGACTAGAGGTACAGTCCATGTCCCTGAAGTGTTTACAGTTAGTTGAGGAGGCAGAACCTCAAACAGGTACAAGGAAGACTAGGATTCACATGGGGGATTTGTCTAGAATCTGATGCAGCTGTCACTGCCTGGCCATGCCTGTGACACCTTTCCTCTACCTCAGTTTCCCAAGCTGAGTAAGACTTAACAGCTTCAGCTTCTCATGGTCACAACA